TAACCTCTCTCTAACACTCTAAACATCTTATTAATAAGTTAATCTTTGACAAATTACAGAGAGGCCCTTGAGAGAGCAGGAAAATACAAAAAACAGAATAATACAGAGTATGGGCCCAGAATAAGGCCCACAACAGAGAGAAACATAACATAACATAACATAACATGAACTAACTGTCTATGGGCCATTCGGCCCATCTTCTCTACATCTTCTTTTGGAGCAAATCACTAGTGTTGAATCTTTCTAGATAGGCTTCCCAACAAAAACTACCAACCCTAGGAAGAATTGGTCTGCACCAAACCTCATTAACCGGGAAAGGGGAGGTTGCAGGACTGGTGGACTAGCATAGGACTTTGAATAAGGAAGCACAAGAAAAAGAGCTTGTGGGGGTAGGGGTCCAAATTCTAGAGTCCACCTTAGAGGGGTCTAAGAAAACATTATCAAGAAGTTCAAGGAGGCTGAAAAGACTATTGAGGTCTAAATCCCTCACAACCCTCCTCAGACCCGGGTTCCACCCAAACCCAGAACTGGAAGAGGAAGGGGTGATGAAAAAAAAAATTGGCTCATTTTTAAAATCAGAGAGAGCATACAAAGAAGGAAACTGGTCCTTAAGAGGAACATTCCCCACCCAAGTTTGTTCCCAGAATTTTATGGAATTACCTGAATTCAAATCATACCTGACAAGAGGGGAGAAAACTGGAAGCAGATCATGAATGACTTTCCAAGGTGAAGTGCTTGTGGTCCTTGTTCTGATTCCAGCATCCCATCCATTTTGCTCCATCCCATGTATGCTTGCCACTATTCTAGGCAATAGCTTCTCCTGCTCCATAGGAAACCTCCACAACCACTTCCCCAAAAGGGTCGAATTCCTTTTCCCAATGTTCCCAAGCCCCAAACCACCATAAATTTTACTCCTGGTCACCACCTTCCAGCTAACTCTATGGTTCCTCTTCTCCTCTCCCGGCTATCAAAGGAAATCTCTCATCATCCTCTCCAACCTACTAGAAACCTTCACTGGAATTTTGAACATTGAAAGGCAAGACCCCTCCTATGACTAACAGTCCTGGATTGCCCTGACTGTTCCAAAAAAAAATCAGTTTAGTAAACCTTTCCAGAGGAGGTGTTCAAACTGCTACAGTTCTGTTTTTCTTAAAAGAAGCATTAGCTACTACAGCCCATCTCCTATCCCTAGGCTTACCCCCCCCCCCCACCCCACCCACAAAAAAAAAAGAAAAAGGAAGGCCTAAGTATTTAACTGGCCACTCTCAAATTTCACAACCTAGGATAGCCATGCACTCCTTAACTCCATTCCTTTCCATTTTGGTCTCCACCAACACCAAACTACATTTGGCTAAATTGACGTTCAGCCCCAACAATATAAATACCACAAGTAATTCTTGGTTAAACGTTCAGGAAACAACCTTTTTTAATCAACCCCTGTAACAGAGCTTGAGGGTTTTCACAATCAATAATAAATTAATCATCACTTGCAAATATGAAAAGTATAACAACTTTTTATAATGGCCTTACTGCAAGTCTGAAACAGAAGTAGAAGAATCTGCTATAACCAAAAACTAGAATTCTAAAATGTTGTTAAGGTTCTTAAGGATGGCAATTTAAATCTGAAACCCAAAAATTCATAAGAGCAAAATCAGCTACATTTCAAGACAAATAACCAAAACAAATCAGCAGTTAAACAAAGATGAATTTATCTCAGATCCTGAGTTTGCTACCATGAGTTTATCTCAGATCCTGAGTTTATCTCAGATCCTGTACAAGGGTACCATATCATGCCAGAAACATTAATTTTTAATGTAAAATTCATATCCAATACCATAAGATGTGATTCAGACCAATACAAAATAGTAAAATAATTCAGATTAAGTGGGCATGCACCTCATTAGCATACTTAGAAAACATAAACAAGAATTAAAGGCCCATTAAGAACAAATAACAAGAAAGAACTAATCAATAAGAGAATAATGGGATAGGGCCCATTTGGCCCAGTCTCTCTACACCATATCAAGCCATATCCAGGTATTATAGGTTTGCTAACACTCTGAGAATAAAGTGCAAGTTTTGACAAATGTAATAAGTACCAGAAGAAATAGTTAAGAGACTTACCAAGAGGATAACCGGATATCAGATGCTGCTTTCACCAAATTCTGATTTTCCATTGCACTCAAGGGGATCCACGACACAAAAGAATCCTTGAAACCACAGGATCGAAGAAATGTTCCAAGCTGCATTTTTATTGTGTCAAACCGTTCCTTGGAGTAGCTCACAGCATCCATTTTATTAATACCAACTATAATTTCGTCAACACCAAAGCTTCTAATAAGTTGTGCATGTTCCCTTGTTTGTCCACCATTACTGTCCATTCCTGTTTCAAATGATCCAACTGAGGCATCTATCACAAGAATTGCAGCATCAGCTTGTGTAGCACCAGAAATCATGTTTGGGACAAAATCTTTATGTCCTGGGGAGTCAAGCACAACAACATGGTATTTCTTGGAGTCAAAATAGGCAACAGCAACTGTCATGGTGATGCCCCTCTCCCTTTCTTCAGCACTTTCATCCAATGCCCAAGCATAAGCAAATGACCCCTTCCCCTGCATTGAAGGGCCATGGGCATTCTCAGGCTTTTGATTGCCTATAGTAATTTCTAGATTAACTTCACAGTTCATGATACACTATAGATTCTTTGCCATGAAATTATGATTTGTGGAAATACCTAATAACTTCACCCAGCATAAAGAATTGTCTAAGGTTGCAGTTAATAGAGGTATCCTTGGTTGGTAGATTTGTTGATACTGATCTCAAGGAGAAGAACATAGGACCCATAGTTGTCAAGGTGTCGCCTAGGCGTGTAGGCACTTTTTGGGGCTTGCCTCACCCAAGTATATGCACTGAATCATTATTTTTATTTGTTTCATAAGATAATAAATATTTTTATTAGTTTCTTATTTTGTTAGAGTTTCTGATAGAAAGATATTCGAAGACAGAAACAAGTTCGAGAGAAATCCTCGTCAGGGTTCCAAGTTACATGTTCTACATCTTTGAAGAAGCAAGGGAAATCAACCAATCGCAGAATGGTAGAAGGTATGCTCTGCCCCTTCTTTTTCTTTTTTGGAACAAACAAAAACAGGGGCTCTGCCCCTTCTTCTTTTTCTTTTTCTGGAATAAAAACAGGGCTCCACCCCTCCTCCTAACTCTTCTGCTTCTTAATGGAACAAATAATAGGGGCGGACTAGAACAAAAAACACTTGTTTTTCCTTTTTTCGGAACAAAAAACAGGGGCTCCACCACTTCTTCTTTTGAACTAAAACAGGGGCTCCGCCACTTCTTCTTTTGAACTAAAACAGGGGCTCCGCCCCTTCTCCATCATTTTTGAGATTTTCCTTTCATGTTTTCTCTTTTCTAAGACAAGAATAGGGGCTATGACCTTCTTTTACTTTTATTTCAATGGCAAAAATAGGGGCTCATCCCCTTTTTGTTCTATATTTTTAGACATTAAGCAGCGCCTAGGTGGCTAGGTGACAAAGTTCTCCCCTACCGCCTAGGTTCGCCTTGGCACCTTGAAAACTATGCATAGGACAAGGGGTAGGAGTTAGAAAAACTAAAAGGTGGACTGTTTCTATTCATTTTGAATGACAGACCAGACAGGCAAGAGGACCAGAATTATGTATCAGCCATAGGTACCCACTGGAAGGTTCTTTGGAGAAGACAAAGGACAAGAGTTTGCTATGGATTGATGTGTACGACATATGATTAATGTGCAGTGTATGCAGGCATTTAAGAAATCAGGAATATTGTGGGTCGGTTTCAGAAGATTGATGGTAGGAATAAAAATTGGGGAGTAATTGCAAATGGTGAAGATGTTGTTTGAGGTGGATGCTGTTTAATCAATACCAATACTGCTGAATATATGGTTTGCAGGAGAAGAATATTAAGTTAGACTGATAGTTGAAGGAGAAGACCTATCATTCAAAAACTCACAGTTGCTTGTCTATGGGGGCACTCACTGGGAGACATTTGAGGACAAATTTCATCACTTTAAGTGGTAGGAACAATAACCATCAAGAGGAAGAAGCTGATAAGGTGAAGGAGGTTAATGGTAATCTAGTAAATTAAAAAGGAGAACAAAAGCAACATGTTTTTTTAACAGACACATAGCATTTAACAAAGGCAAGAAGTGGAGTCATGAATTTAAAATTTTTTCTCCTAAGGTGAACAACCAATGATATCATATTGAAGAGCATTATAAAGACGAGGTTGACAGTTGCTGATCAAAAAAATAAAGATGAGGTCGACCATTGACAGTTAGCAAACATGGTATTAAGGGTTAGACATAAAAGGCCATTGTCCAATGTTTGTCCAAGCTATCTTGGGAGAGGTGGCCTCAATAAGGGAGGTAACTTATACCAGAAAAAAGGTCAAAGAAATAAAAAGATTTTAGTTTGAGTGATAGAGGAAAACAGTTAGAGCTAGAAGCCTAGAAGAAAGACCTTACAGAGAAGAAAAAAGTAGGCAATCGTACTTGAAAAAGAGGATGCTACTGAAATGTTGAGTGGTGGTGTTTTTTTTTTTTTATCAATAACTGTGAATTGTATTAATTAGTATTAAGAAGAACTACAAAGCAAGGGGGCTAAACAATCTTAGCTCCCTATAACACTCAATGAGCACCAAATACAATTACAATAAAGCCCAAAATAAAGAGTTTCTGTTAACCCCTTGCCTAGCTAAACCATCTCCCCCTATTCCATATGGTCCTGGATTACCCATACTGCTGCCATCAAAATTCAGTTTAATAAAGCCGTTAGGTGGAGGACTCCAGCAAGAATTTGATGCCTTCTTAGCTGAAGCTAATTCTGCAATTTCCTTCCAGTTTTTTACCATCTCATCTACTGAGAAATCTGCAAACAATGCCAAAGTTTTCAGCCAATGTATCACCCTAATATGGATTACCTCCAAAATTACTTCCAAGCTTCTCTCCTTTTCTTATAATATCTGTGAGTTCCTCTCCTCCCAAACAGTCCAACACACTGCAGCCCTAATACATCTCCACATGATCTTGGCCTTTTTTGTTGGCCCACTCGGCATGTAACTGAATAAACTTTGCACATTCAAAGGGGGGATCCACCTGCACCCAAACAAAGAAGTACACCACTCCCAAATGCCTTTAGTAAACCGACAGGAAATCAGTAAATGGTATTCAGACTCACCATCAGCTTTACAAAGAGCACATCAGTGAGAACACAAACAACTGCTGGGTCTTTTTCTTTGAAGTAAATCACTTGTATTAACTCTTTCTAGAAAGGCTTCCCAACAGAAACTCCCAACCTTAGGGGTATAGGAAGACACCACACCTCTTTGACAGGGAATGACAGACCCAAAGAAGGAGGTTGTGTTAGAAATTTAAAGAAAGAAGCACATGTGAAAGAACCAGAGGGGGTAAGAGACCAAATTCTACTGTCTGCTTTGTTGGCTCTAAAAAGACCCCTTCAAGAATGGATAACAAGGATAAGATACAATCAAACTCTGTGTCCCTGATTTCCCTTCTAAAGCCCAAGTTCCAACTGAACCCAGAAGTTGAGTTAGAAGGAACAAGGAAGGAGGAAACTAGTTCATTTTTAAAAGTGGAAAGAGTGAAAGACTCGGGAATTGATCTTTTAAGGGAGAATCCTCAATCCAGATATGTTCCCAAAAATTGATGAGATTACCTGAGTGCAAGTCATACCTGATCCATGGAGAGAACAATGGCAAAATAGCTTGAATAGCTTTCCATGGTGCTGCTCTTGTAGTCCTTGCCAGAATCCCATAATTCCATCCATTGCCTACTACCCCATGAATACTGCCCACTATCTTCACCCACAGCTTATCCTTCTCCAAAGAAAATCTCCACAGCCATTTTCCTAGTAGTGCCAAATTCCTACTCCTTATATTCCCAATACCCAAACCTCCCTCCCTCTTTCTCCTACAAACCATCTCCCACCTAACCCTATGGTCCTTCTTCTCCTCCCCCAGCCCCCAAAGAAAATCTTTCATTTGTTTTTCTAACCTGCTAGCCAACATTTGTTTTTCTTCTTCCAAGTTGCAAGTCTCTTTTCAAACCTCTCCACAACCGGAACCCAACACTCATCTTTCTGAGGGTTGTCTCCTAATGGCAAACCAAGGTCATTTAAAGGCCAATTAGAAACTGCACACTCTAGAATGTCTGCACACTCCGATGTCTCCCCATCCCTCATATTGACCCCCACTAGACAGCTCTTCTCAAAATTCACCTTAAGGTTTGACATTTGCTCAAAGAGTTGTATAGTGAGCTTCAGGTTTCTTATCCTATTAAGGTCCCCTCCTTCACAAAAGAGTATTGTGTCATCTGCAAATTGCAAATGTGTGAGTGGCACACTCTCCCTTTCAACTCTCCATCCTCTTATTAAGTCCCTGGAGTTTGCTCTAGAAATTAATTTCCCCAAAACTTCTGCAACCATCATGAATAAGAAAGGGGAAAGAGGATCTCCTTGTCTTATTCCTCTCAAAGCTGGAAAGAAATTTACCACTATCCCATTTATCAATATGGAATAATGGCATTTCCTAATACATCCCATCACCCACTTACACCACCTTTCTTTGAACCCAAAATTGACCAATCACATCCAATAGGAAAGACCAATCCACCATGTCATAAGCCTTTTCCAAATCCAATTTGCATACCACCCCTTTTTTCTTGGATCTCTTAAACTCCTCCAAACTCTCATTTGCTATAAGTCTTTTGATTTGTTATCTGCCTCCCTTTCACAAAAGTTCCTTGGTTGTCTGCTATAATTGCTGGGAGCACTTTTCTACAACACCTTAGTGATGATCTTATAGAGGCTATTAACTAGGCTGATTGGCCTATAATCCCTCGGGTGATTTGCATTCCATTTCTTGGGAACCAAGGCAATGAATGTGGAATTAAGCCCCGGGTTTATCACTCCTCTAGAATAAAATTCATCAAACACTAGCCTTAGGTCCTCTTTTAATATCTCGCAACAATCCTGATAAAAAGCCATTAAAGCCATTAGGGCCTGGTGCCTTTGATCTATCCATAGAAAACACTGCTTTCTTTATCTCTTCCAATTCAAATTTCCTTTCCAGCCTCCCTATCCTCCAGTTTCAGTGTAGGCCATTCCAATCCTTCAAGCCATACCCTATTGTTTAGGGGTCTTCTAAAAATAGACCTAAAATGATTTGCAAAGGCCCCTGCAATTTCTCTTTGATTGGAAATTATTGCCCCTTCAATCTCCAAACTTGAGATATAATTCCTTCTCCTTCTTCCATTTGCCACTGCATGAAAAAACATGGTATTCTATCCCCCTCTTTCAACCACTTACACCTTGACTTTTGTCTCCAACTTATTTCCTCCTACAGAAGTCAGTCCTCTAAATCATGTGGATTGTGATAAGTGGTCGAAGAAGTATGACATAGTAGGACAAAACTTAGCATTCAAGGCATTATAAAGGAGGTGGTTCATGACAGAAAGACTTCTTCCTATGTAGTTGATGCACAAGGAAGAAAGTTAACTTCAATAGATTCAATAGAGTGCTCTATTTGACTGTAATGAGGTTCAAACTCAGAAGAAAGGGGTAGATACAGGTAGTGATAGATATGTTGCGCAAAATATCAATATTTACCACAACAAAGGCATCTCTAAAAATTAAATCACACCTTTAGAAGAGCAAAGTAGGTTTCAAGGAGGAATATTAAAAAGGTAAGTTTTGTAAGAAATCAAAAAATAAAATAAAATAAAAAGGTAAGTTCTGTAGGAGGGGGAAAATGGTTATGGGAATAACAAGGATCTACTCACCACATTCATAGTTGATTCACTGGGGTTGTCACCTTCTACCCATAAGTATCCACCATTTTCTTTGTCTGTTAAGCCTCACAGCTATGGTACTTCCTAAAGAAAACTACAACTGCAGTTTATCTTACTCACAGGACTACTGAGAGAACAAAGTGTCTCAGTAAAAGTGTTTTTGGAACATGGCCATTTGAAGACTTTGAAAGGGGTTTAATAGAGGATTCAGGAACATTATTCAGGATGGAAGCAGAGCAAGAGTACGATGAGGATTTCATCTCAACTGATGAAGCTTTCAAGGTTAAACAGGTTTAAAGAAGGTGATCAAAGAAAGAGATGTTAGGTTGGAAATAAGTTGGTTTTGTTCTATTTAGGTGGTGAGGAAGCTTTCAGAGAAGTGTTTTTGGAATTAAATCAGTGATTTAAAAGGCGTGCCTAGGCGCACGCCTAATGCGCCTTCTTAAAATTCTGCGCTTTTTGCTTTTATTTTAGCCTAATGGCTGGGCCGGGGGCTCCACCCCCGGACCCCCCAACCATGCCCCTCAAGGCAAGCCCAATCAAATCCATGTTAGTCTTATATTCTTATTCCTCACATAAAAAATAATGATTTTATAACTTTAATTGCCTTCTAAGAAGATATTTTATTGGAATGAATGAATGAACAACATTTTCAAGAAGATATCTTGAAAATGCTTTATATGTTTGCTTTTATTTTTAAATTTTCATTTGAATACGCTTTACATGTTGTGTTTATTTATTTTAATTTTAGATTTTTTAAAACATTTATTTTAAAACTTAAGTTTATATTTTTATAAACATTATGTTTAATATTTTTTGATTTTTTTAAAATTTTTTACATTTTTTTGAATTTTCTGACATTTTTTTTATTTTTTAGCATTTTTTGTATTTTTGCGCCTTGCTTCAAAAAGGCACGTGCCCAGCCTTGCGCCTTGCTCCTCAAGTGCAAATTGGCCCTCGTGCTTTTAAAACACTGGAATTAAAGGGGAGAGAGAGAGAGAACTAACAATTCTAAAATGTCACATACAGATTTTAACAATTATCTTGGAGAGATCATTATTTTGGAATTTACTAAGTACACAGAAACCTCTACTTTTTCTCTTTGAGGGGTCTGAGGAAATTTGAGTGAGAAAATGGTGGTTTGGCAAGTAAGAGTTGAATTCAGAGAAGTGGAGTGTTGAGGAAGGTCACATTTATCGTTCCACAATTTTTCAAGGCTGTTAGGCTTGTGAGTTATAGGAACTGTGGGTTGTTAGGAAAAATCGTTCCACAATTTTTCAACTCTTTTCAGGAGTAGGCTGTTAGGAACTGTGGGTTTAGATGAATGATATCTTGTTTATCTTTTCTCTTTCTTGATGATATCTTATCACTTAAGCCTGCACTTTCTTCTATTTTTTTAATGAAAATTTTCTTTACCATCAAAAAAAGTCTAAGCCAAGAGAGTTAGTGAACCTTTAGCTTTGCCTCTTTCTCAAATTTATGCATTTCTTTCTGGGATATCCGTCCCAAAAGGTGAAGCAGCCTCCCTGATAGTGTTGATTTTCCAGAATCAACATGGCCAACCTATTACAACATTGTGAAAGGATTAGAAATAATATTTATGCTGAAGATTCCAAAAAGAGAAAATTGTGCAAATGCAACAATAACTCAGATGTCCAGGTCTTCAAATCTTACAATAGCAAGATTTAGCTGAGTCAGTATTCCTTCATTTTGTTCAGGAAGCATCCATTTCTCTGGCTTATATTCAGCATGTGAAGTAGCTCTTTTACTATTTACAGTTTTCGAGGATCCAGACTTCTCACTCAAAGTTACATCGGTGAAACTACTAGCTAGGCTTTGTGGCTTCTCCTCATTGACAGAAGAACAAATGCTTTCATCAGCATGAAATTGACTGCCTTTTGGTAATGAAACAGATGAGCCCTCTATACTTTTAACATTTGGCATCTTATATGTCCCAACATTTTCATTTGTAGTTGACAGAAGCCCTGAAGATGTCAAATCCACAAAGTTGGCTAGCATAAAGTAACAGCTGTAATAGAAGAAACTAGTAACTTCAAAAGTGAACCACAAGTTAGAAGTAACAACTCTCTACCTTTTGGCAATGAAACCAGTGAGCACTCTGACTTTTTAGCATGTGGCAGTTTAACTGTTCCAACCTTCTCATTTGCATTTGATGGAACTCCTGGAGATATAAAATCTTAAAGTTGGCTACATATAGAAATTAACTGTAACCAAAGAAAGTCAAAACTTAAAACTAAACTATGCAAATCAAGAAATACAAGGAAAACTAACCCATTTTTTTATTAATGATCAATAACCAATCTTGTTCATTGTTTGTGGATAATGTAAACAATCATCGCCACAAAAAAGAAGCAAAACATCAAATACTAAGTAATACACATGTGAAAAACAACCTCAAAACTTATGAAAAAACAAAGATGATTAGAAGGAAAGAGTAAGGCCCTATTTGCCAGTACTTCATACTTTATACCTTTAAAAGTACTTTTTATTTTTTTTTTTTTGAGAAGGTAAGGTAAAAAGTTTATTAAAGAAGGATGAAAAAGATACAACAATTTCCGGGCATCTCACACCCAGAAAGAAGACATGTTACAGACTCCAAACAGACTGAGTATAAAGCAAATGGAAAAGATTCTGAGACTTAAACTCAGAGCTAACTGACAGCCAAGAAGCAAGTTTAGACACTGCAGCCTGAATTAATTCCTCCGGGCCTCTCACTTTGTTGCAGAAAATTCGGTTGTTTCTTTCAGTCCATAAAGTTACTAAGACAGCCACAGGGGTGGTTCTCCAGATCAGATTACCCTTTTTCTTCAGGCCTGGCAAATTCCAGCAGCATAAGAGATCCTTAATTGAACCAGGCATAACCCAGCAGACCCCAGCTGCTTTAAGAAAGTGCTCCCAAACTCTTACAGAGATCGAACAGTGGATGCCAAGATGATCAACTGTCTCTGGCAAAAGCCCACATAAGCCACAGCTAAGGTCTGAAAGCTGAACCCCTCTCCTAACCAAATTAGCTCTCAACAGGCACTTATTTAGAGCCATCACCCAAATCAAAAAATTATGCTTAGGTGGACTGACAGAATTCCACACCTGATTGCTTGGAAAATAAGAATTACTTGCTCTACTTAAAAGCCTCTATAAGGTCATCACTAAGGTGCTGTCAATTAGAATCAGGAAGGGGCTACCAACTATATATCAAACAATCAAGGAGCTTTTGTGAAGGGGAGGCAAATAACAGATCAGATACTTGTAGCAAATGAGAGTCTAGAGGATTATAAGAGATCCAGGAGAAGAGGTGTGGTCTGCAAACTAGATCTCGAAAAGGCTTATGATTTGGTTGATTGGTCTTTCTTATTGGAGGTGATGATTAACTTTGGGTTTGGAGACATCTGGTGCAAATGGGTGATGGGTTGCACTAGGGATTGTCAATATTCCATTTTGGTAAACGGGACAGTGGTGGACTATTTCCCAGCTTTGAGGGGGATTAGACAAGGAGACCCCCTATCCCTCTTGTTTAAATTGGTTGCTGAAATGTTGGGGGGATTGATATCCAAAGCAGATTCTAGGGAGCTAATAAGAGGGTGGAGAGTTGGAAGAGATAATGTACCACTTACACACTTACAATTTGTAGATGACACGATTCTGTTTTGTGAAGGAGGGGATGTCAATTGGATAAAAAATTTGAATCTCACTATACAACTTTTTAAGCAGATGTCAAATCTTAGGGTGAACTTTGAGAAAAGTTGTATAGTTGGAATCAATATGGGGGAAGGGGAGATTGGTGAGTATGCAGACATTTTGGGATGTGTAGTATCTAACTGCCATTAAACTACCTGGGCTTACCTCTGGGGGATAATCCTCAGAGAGGTGAGTTTTGGGCCCCTGTTGTGGAGAGATTTGAAAAGAGACTTGCCAACTGGAAGAGAAACTATTTGTCTCTTGGAGAGAGAATCACCTTAATCAGGCCTACTCTGGCTAACCTTCCTGTATATTTTTTGTCAGTCTTTAGGATCCCGGTTAAGGTGGCTAGTAGGTTGGAAAAACTAATGAGAGATTTTCTGTGGGAGCCGGAGGAGGAGAAGAGGGATCATAGGGTCAAGTGGGAGGTGGTCTGTAGAGGTAAAAAGGAGGGAGGGTTGGGAATTGGAAACACTAGGACTAGGAATCTAGCATTACTGGGGAAATGGTTGTGGAGATTCTCATTGGAGAAAGAAAGGTTGTGGGTTAAGGTAGTGGGAAGTATCATTGGAGAAAGAAAGGTTGTGGGTGAGCTGGTTCGGGGGAGCTCGCCCTCCTGAAACAGATGAAGGTAGAAGACGAGAAGTAAAGAAGAGATAGAGTGAGAGAGAGCGAGAGAGAATAATGGAAAATATCATTCATGCCTTCTACGCAATACGTGATTGGCCTTTATAATGCATGGCCATACAACTCATAACAAACCATAACAAATTCTGAGTGTGCCTGGCTCTACCCGATACGTGGGCGACGCGTGTACACAAAGGTAATTGGGGGAGTGACCCTTGTGAGGTTCTGGGTTCTCGAGTGGGCCTTATGGGCCTGAAGAGCTTCGCCTGCAATCTCCTTCTTACTGGGCTTATCAATCCCGCCGTCTTCAAGAACGACCTTGTCCTCAAGGTCGAGTGTAGGGAACTGCTTCTGAAGCTGAGTGTAGTCTTCCCACGTGGCATCCTCATGAGGCAAGCCACACCATACTACCGGGGCCTGTTCGACCACCTTCCTTCCCCTGCGAACCCAGCATAAGTCCTTGATATTCATGGGCTCAAATATTACCTCCCCTGACTCAGTGAAAGGTGGGCGAGTGGGACTGATAGTGTCGATAGGAGACACACAGGGCTTGAGGAGGCTGACATGGAATACGAGATGCAATTAGCATTCAACCGGTAAGCAGAGACGGTATGCTACGGACCCGATTCACTCTTCTACTTGAAATGGGCCAAAGAATCGAGGGGATAGCTTCTAAGATACGCTCCTCGCCATTGAGTTCTACCGATACGGCTGGAGCCGAAGATAGACCCAATCTCCTACGAAGAACTCCAGTTCTCAGTGCTTCTTGTCATAGGCCAACTTCATTCACTGTTGGGCTTGCTGTAGATGAAACTTGAGGAGCTTTAGCGTAGTGTCTCTTGCCTGCAGTTGTGTGTCCACCTCAGCTATCGGTGACGTGCCTCGCTCATAAGGCAGTATGGAGGGAGGATCGTAACCGTATAGCACCTTAAAAGGGGTGGTCCCGACTGACACCTGAAAGGTGGTGTTGTACCAGCACTCAGCCCAGGACAGCCACTAGGCCAATTGCTTGGGCCTATTGCCCACAAAACATCTCAGATAAGTCTCCAAACATCGAATGACGACCTCCGATTGTCCGTCCGTCTGAGGGTGGTAGTTAGTGGAGTGCAATATCTAAACCCCCTGAGCTGCGAAGTATGCCTTCCAGAAGGTACTCATGAATAGTGGATCCCAGTCCGTCAAGATGGACTGTGGTGTCCCATGAAGCTTAACCACCTCCCAGATGTAAGATTGGGCCACCATGGTTGTTGTATAGGGTCGTGAGAGGCTTAGAAAATGTGCATACTTACTCAGCCGGTCTACCACCACCAGCACTATGGATTTTCCCTGGGATGTGGGTAACCTAGTTATGAAGTCCATGGTTACCTCTTCCCAAACTCGCTCAGGTTGCAGCAATCCGGCTAGGTTCTGGGTGTTGTATTTTTGTTGTTGACACACAGTGCATCGGGCCACAAACTCCTGAACCATCTGCTTCGTCCCTTTCCAGTAGTAATGAGCTGCTAGACATTTATAGGTCCATAGAACTCCACAGTGCCCTCCCTGGGCCGAGTTATGGAATAGCCGAAGTAGCTCCTGATGGTATTTGGATCCATCTGACACCACCACTCTTCCCTTGTAGTAGAGAAGCCCATTTTGAAGTGTGTATCTAGGAACCTGGGCCGCATCCTCCAGGACTTGGGCCCATATTCGGGTTAATTGGGGATCGTCCTGGGCTTCTTGGTTCAGTTGTGTTGACAATGGATAGCCCAGTCGGGACAGGCCCAATAAGCACAAACTTTCAGCTCTGGAGAGGGCATCCGCTACTGCATTAGAGGGTCCGGGCTTAGACAGTAAATAAAAGAGAAGAAGAAAAAAAGAAGAGAAGAAGAGAAATGGAGAAGGAGCACTCATGGGAGAAGCTTTGAAAGAAGAGAATGGTTGGAGTGCTTAAAACAGCCGCCCCACTACTTAATTTATATACACAGTTTCCTAATTGTAAAAGAACTTTAATGCTTACATGGCAATAAAAGATAAGATTAAAATAAAACTAATCCTAGATAAGATAGAATAAAACTTATCCTACTAGGAAAGCTGATCCTAATCAATTAAATCTAAGTACATCTCAGGGTGTCACACGAATACTCTTAATGTGGGGTCCACAATTTCCTACATATTCAATGGCAAAGTCATACCCCATCAGCTTGCAAGCCCATTTATGCTAATCTGGGCCCAAGACTCATTGCTCCAACAAGTGCTTGATACTTTGGTGGTCAGTCCTGACTATGAACCGTCGGCCCAATAGGTAAGCCCTCCATTTTTGGACTACTAGGGCAATGGCCATGAGCTCCTTCTCGTAGGTGGATTTGGCTTAGGCCTGTGAGGAGAGAGCCTTGCTGAAGTAGGCCAAGGGCTGGCCCTACTACATCAGGACTGCACCAATTCCTGTACCCGAAGCGTCGACCTCTACTACAAACTCCAATTCAAAGTTAGGAAGGGCTAGTGTAGGTGGTGAGGTGGCGGCTACCTTCAGTGCCTGAAAGGCTTCTTTTGCATTCTGATCCCATTCAAATGAATGTTTTTTCAGTAGTTGTGTGAGGGGTGCTGCAAGAACTCCGTATCCCCTAATAAATCTCCAGTAGTAACCTGTCAACCCAAGGAACCCCCTCAGAGCTTTTGGGGAGCTAGGCCAGGCCCAGGAGAGCATGCATTCAATCTTTTCAGGGTCCACGCGTACCTGTCCTCCAGAGATGATGTGGCCCAAGTAATTGATTTGGGTGTGCCCAAATGAACACTTTGAGGGCTTGGCGAACAGTTGGTGCTGCCGTAGTAATTTTAATACACATTGCAAGTGCTCTACATGAGAAGCCCAGCTGGAACTAT